GCATTCGAGTAATGCATGTATAAATAGGGGTCCCTTCCCTTGCAGCAAACTAACTCAATACAAACTCTCACCCTATCTAAGAGAAAGAGATTATAAGGTGTTGCATAGGTGAAGAAGATTCTCTACAATTACCATGGCTGAACAAGGTTAGTGTTATGGTATAAAAGCCTAGTATAGATTTACAGATTTCGCTTTCTGAAACCCTAAACCAGAGAGTGTATCAGAGAGAGAGAGAGAGAGATAGCAAAAGAAGAAGAGATAGCATTATGTTGTGAGGAAGAGAGTCGTACAACTCATGTTCACGTATCCTCCTCAAGTCTCTATAATTTCTCTCTCCCTAAAAGGAGGGACCACCCAAGCATGCAAGGTACCACGTGCCCAAATCCGTATTTGGATTATAAGGAATTGAATTGAGGATAATTAGATTTCGAATTCCTATTGAAGTTGTTTACTAAACCATATGGATTGAGGGAGTTATATTCCAGATTCCTATTGAAGTTGTTTACTGAACCATATGGCATTGAGGTAGGAGTGGTACTAATTACTAAAATGTCATCGTTATTGGGTTAAAGTAGATGTCAAATTGGAATTTCCAAAATTGTGTGAGGATATAATGGGTAAAAAAGATGAATTTCTAATAGGTTAGTTATCCTGGAATTAGAATACCACCTCCTACCCAAGAATTCAATTCCTTCAAAATGAGGAATTCAATTCCTAATTTTATTTGGGCTCCATAGGTGGAATTCAATTCCTGATTAGTAAACACACCATTAAAGTAATTTAATTATTATTTCAATGCCTTTTATTTATTCTTTTAAATTATAACCATACAAATCAAACTTAAAAGTGAAACATAGGGATGGTAACGGACCAATTAGGGGTCGGGTATGACAAACATCATAAGAGGGTTAGTAAAAACACTTGAACATGGATGCTGAATTTTATTTTTAATTATTTGTATGGTTCAATGCCTTTCATTGTTTTAACATTTAGTTGGGTTAATATTTTTTTGGGAGCTTTAGTAGTATACCCAAAATATGGGTTGAAATTATAATATAAAAAACCCTGTATAGAATGCACTTTAGAAACATACCCAAAAATCATTTACTACATAGGAAATGAGTGTTGAAGTTCCTATAAATTACATGACTGCCATTGATTAACTTAAAATAAGCCCAACACAAAAAACTCAAAAGACACCCAAAACAAGCCCAACAAGCCCGAAATACATTGTTAATACCATATTATAGAGTACATTGTTAATACAATATCATATAAGTACATTGTTAATACCATTTCATACAAAAAACTAAAAACTAAAAACCAAAAAAGCCCAGCAAGACATCTGATGTCCTTTGCAGAAACCAGCTCTAATTGTCCACAATTTCACCAGAAACAATCGCAAAGGCAAAAGGAAATACCGCTGCAAGAAAAAAAAATAGTACACTGTTAATATTATGTCATAGAACTATCTTCCTAGTAAAAATCACATTATGCATATAATAAACTTCAAGTGCATAGCTATATATAGAGTAAAATATAGAACATGCTTTGTTATTGAAAATCTGTTAATACTATGTCATAGAAGTATACTGTTAATAATATGTCATAGAAGTATGTTAATGTATGTATTTTGAGTTTTTCTTTTGGCTTCACTTGACAACTTTGTAATAGGATTTTTATTGTGTTTATCAAGCTCAAGCTTAGATTAAGAATAGCTTCTCTATGTGTTCTTAACTAACAAATATCCTATGGAGGTTCAAGCAATTTGACAAAGGTAAGGTGTGCATTGCATATCATTGCATTAAACTGTTTTTATAAAATGATGACTAGTCATTTGTTTCTCGTATGACTAGTCATCCTTACTCTGTTGGATTTCCAGCTGAATAACCAACTTCTTTGTCCTATTCTCCTTTCTCTCTCTGCTGCCAGGTGTGATTCTGACCTAAGGGAATTTCTGTCTGTAAAGGCTACGAAATTCCTCTTTGGGCAGCCGTCTCTTTTGGGTGGAAGTTTTGGAAAGATTGGCTTGCTATCTTTCTCTTCTTCTTCCTAAAGAGAGAACCAAATATTTCATCTATGAGTTTTTCCCATTAATTTCTTTTTGAAAAACTGCATTTGAAATACGAATTTGCATCTAGCTTCATAAAACACTCTCTCATTTCTCATCCAAAGAAGCTGATTGTAGCAACTCCCAGCTGCAACATACTCTGCTTCAGTAGTGGATAAGGAGACAGAGTTCTGTTTTTTGCTATGCCAAGCAACTAAGTTGTTGCCTACATAAAAGATCCCCCCGGAAGTGCTTTTCCTATCATCACTACAATCTGCTCAATCGGCATCACTATACCCAACAAGATTGACACAAGTGTCATAGGTATACCACAACTCAAACTCAACAGTCATATTCACATATTTTATGATTCTCTTAACATCAAACAAGTGAGACTCTTTGGGGTCACTTTTAAACCTAGCACATACTCCAACACAATAAGAAATGTCTGGTCTACTATCAGTTAAGTAGAGAAGACTTCCTATCATGCTTCTATAGAGAGTTTGATCCACACTTTTGCCATGCAAGTGTATATGAATTTTAGCACTAGTGCTCATTGGAGTTCTTGCAAATTTTGCACCCTCCAAACCAAATTTTTTCACAAGATTTTTTGTATATTTTGATTGAGATACAAAGATCCCATCATGGCTTTGTTTGATTTGAAGACCTAAGAAATAGTTAAGCTCACCTACAAGACTCATTTCAAATTCACTAGTCATGACATGAATAAACTCTTGAACATGCAAGTCAGAGGTAGAACCAACCACAATATCATCAACATATACTTGAGCAATCAAGACATCTTTTTTGAACTTTTTCACAAACAAAGTTTTGTCAACCGACCCTCTAACATACCTATTTCCTAGAAGATGAGAGGATAACCTCTCATACCATGCTCTAGGAGCTTGTTTCAAACCATAGAGAGCTTTTTTTTAACCAAAACACATCATTTGGATGATGTGGATCTTCAAAACCCTTTGGTTGCTCAACATAGACTTCTTCTTTTAAGATATCATTCGAAATGGCAGTTTTGACATCCATTTGATAAAGTTTAAATTTCAAGTGACAAGCAATGGCAAGAAGTAATCTAACAAATTCTAATCTTGCAACAAGGGCAAAAGTTTCATCAAAATCAATGCCTTCCATTTGAGTGTATCCTTAAGCAACCAATCTAGCCTTATTTCTTACCACATTACCTTGTTCATTAGTTTTATTTTTGAAAATCCACTTAGTGCCTATGACATTTGTGTTGACTGGTCTAGGAACAAGGTACCAAACATCATTTCTCACAAATTGATTTAATTCTTCCTGCATTGCAAGAAACCATTCACCATGGCGCAAGGCTTCTTTCACATTTTTAGGCTCTTTCTTTGAGACATAACACACATGGCTAATTTCTTGAGCTAGTTGTTTCCTAGTTCTCACTCCCTAATTAAGAGGGCCAATAATGACACACTTAGTTTAGGTGAGAGGGCTATGATCAGCATGAAAGCTAGCAACCTGGACAGATGAGATAGAAGTGTTTCTTGAGCTTGGTTGTGTATCCTTTGTAAGAATCTTTTTCTACTTAGTGGATTGCCTGGTCGATTGATGACTCCCAGTTTTTCCCAATTGTGGGTTTCTGGGTGAACAATTTATATTTTGCATATCTGTAATTTTTCTTGATTTGCGTTCTTGGTGGTTGACTAGTCATCTTTATTTGCTATTTGGTATTTACTTGATTATAATGATTTCACACACTTTCACCATAGTTGTTGCTAGCACAGGGGATGCCTAGATTGACGGGTCCTTCTCAGTGCCTAGGTTGTCACTAGTAATCTTCTAGGGTTGCAGGTACTTTGTGGCATGCTCTGTGTGCACTTTTGATTGTGGTTGTTCATGACTAGCATTTGACCAGTCATAAGTGTTTTTGGTCAAGGTCTAAAGTGTGTGAAGGTTGTTGTGTCTTGTTTGTGTGGTAAAATTTACCCATCGCCACCTAAGTACCATTTTCAAAGTATATTGTTAATTGTTAATACTATGTCATATAAGTATACTGTTAATACTATGTCATAGAAATCAACTTAGTTGCAGGGTATGAACAGTATAACAATTGTTCATACCACTTATTGGAAGTTAACAACTACGTCATTTCATTTGCATAATAGATAATATAAATAATCCAAATAGTGCCAAACATCAAAACCAAGTCAACACTAAACAATGTTTTGCGCATTAAAATTACGAAGAACCTAGATCACTGAGAATCTAAATCCAAGAATAGTAATTATCAAATTTCTTTTCTTTTGTTCAATTTGTATTATAAAAGAAAATGAAGATCTAGTGGCAAGATGCCACATGAACAATACAGATATATAGTTTAAGTTCTTGTATGCAAAATCATTGTTAGCTAACTCATAGTGGAAAACTGGAAGGAAAAAAGCTTACACTTTCTGTCTTTCTCCTTAATAACGTTACGAACTCATGAGGATCTTTCGGACACTAACCAATTCACATCATCATCAATTTGGAGAAATTCAACAGAAGTAATTCCTTTTGCTAATCCTTCAACTTTACAAGTAATTGTATATCCAATTTATAATTCCAATTTGATACAACTATTTCCCAACTCTAATCCCACTTCTTCCAGTGAAAAGACAACATAATGAGAGTAAGTTTTTAATATTGTACTACTATGTTCTATCCAGTTTGTTTCCTTTTTTATTGACACATCAATTTCTTATTTATGTTCTGGAGAAAAAAAAAAATATAAAATATATATATATATATATATATATATATATGACAGAGAAGGGCTACAATGAGATGAAACGAATCCTGTGGCCTGTACAAACAAGTGGTCTAGCATGCTGCCAATAGCTAGAGCATAATTAGAGAAGAAATTGCAACTGTTACCCAGCTCAGGTACACCAATGCAACTGCCATATGGTATTTTTGGCATTCCTCTCCAAAATTGTAGTGGCTCAAGTCACTAAAGTACAACACAATTATGCCAAATGAGGCAGAAGCTGCTGCAAGAGACAATGTTGCTGTAAACTGTTAGAAAAGGAAAAGAGTAAGCTAGTAAATGGCAAACACTATATGGACACACAAGATTTTCATCTAAGGAAGTCAAGGATTTGTAGAGGCTGACCTAGTCTCCAACTACAAAGAGGCTAACCAATATAAGGTTGTGAAGGACCTTCTTTTTCACCAAGGAATATGCATCTAGCAATGCCAATACTAAACTCCAGAGACTTGCAGACCCATTGATGCAATCAGGTTGCTGCAAAATGAGCATTGCCTTAAACAAATATCACAAATTTTTTGTTCAGGACAAGAAATGGCATGTGATGCATCAAGAGATGCTGAAATCTGCCTCATAAGCCTACAGAATCAGGTTACACAAAACTAAACTTAGATGGCAATTTGCTCACAAACATTAGATAGAATACACAGATAGAGCCAAACAAGTCAACAACAGTGAGAAAAACAAGCATAATGAATTCTAAATCACTAATTCCAATTATTATATAATTCTAAAATAGAAAAGACAATACATCAATGACTCATATTGACTAATTAGTATTTTATGCCAAGAACTCATCCCAAAATTGAATCACCATATCTCCGTCGCCAAAACCTCAATTCAATCATACAATAAGCAAGCACATAAATTAACAGCAACAAAAATTAAAAGAAATTAAAAATTTCACAATAACCTTCAAGAGCTTTTGCGCATACAAGACTATGAGTAGTTCTTCAGAGCAATTCTCTCATGGCGGCGTATCCGTACTGAGATCGACGAATGTTATCCAACGATCATCTCAAGTACAATCTCTGCTTTCTTTGAATGGCTCATTCCTCCAGAGGAGTTCTTAGCTTCATCTCTGTCCGAGGTTGTTGTGGTTGACGTCGCTCAGATTTACGGCGCTGGAGAAGGAACTGGAGGCTTGTCGTCTGCCAACGGAGATGATTGCGGTGGTGGCGGAGGTGAAGAAGGATGTGGTGCGTTAACTGGAGCATCCGACAGAGATGGAGGAAGGGAAATCGGCAATGGAGTTTTGGGCGAAGGTGAATTGGCGACGGTTTGCAGCAATGGAGTCGGCAAGAGTTGTGGAGGAGACGAAGAAAATACAATGGAGAATTGGACTAGGAGAAAAGCCGGAAGCAGAGCTCGATAAACCTCGCCATTGTTGAAGAAGAAGAAGAAAGTTCGAGATGCTGGTGATGAAGATTAAGTTGATTAATAGACAAAGCAAAAGGGCAAAACAGTAATCAAGCATTGCTGTTGGATTTAAGAAATCGACAGCTGTTAGTTTTTGGGTTTATTTTGGGTGTGTTTATATACATTAAATGATATAGGGTTTCTTTATAGAACTATGTCTAGGAATTGGTATTTAACTAATTTTCTATAATTTTTTTTGGTAAAAATAAAAACTAGAAAGTGCAGTGCCTCATTAATATTATATTCTTTTTTGCAACAAACTCTGCTGTTAAATTCAGAGAGACGGGCCATCGGCTCACTACTAGCAACACCAATATTGTCCCCAACTTAACCACCTATAAAGCCCAGTAGGTGTGAGATTTTATCACAAAAGGCCTCAGTGTTATTAGTAGTAGAACCATTCATTATATTTTGTCTTTTATTTAGTCAAGTTTCCAATGTGAGACTTATATCTTCAACATCTGCAGCAAAAGAAAATAGTCTAATGCTTGAAACTTTGGAAAATATAGTATGAACGAAATTACATCACAAAGCCAGAGTCCAAAGTTAAAGGACAACAACAACTAGAAAAACAAAGCATACAAATATAAAGACTAGAGGTAGAAGACGACCCAACCAACTGGTGGTGGCATCGTCAAATTCCTCACTAGTCCCAAACTAATGATGGGGTTGACAATGTAACCCATCCTTATTAAGAATGCATATCAGTGAGGATGGGGGTCTATTAACCGAAAATGATAGACTCATCCTCGACATTTCTTTCTTGGCCAAGTAGTATGCTGCCAGGTTTGCGGTTCTGGGAACCCAAGACCAACTACACTCATTGAATTCTGCTTGAATCTCTTTTATCAATGTGAGTACAAGATACATATGCCACCTGCCTCTTGAAATGGACCCTTGAAGAGCATTGATAATCTCCCTGGAGTATGATTCAATACAATGTGAGCACAATCCTGATTCAATACAATGTGAGCACAATCCTGCTGCTTGGCTAATTTTCACCCCTCCAACACAGCCAAAGCTTCAGAGAGTAAGGACGAATAAGCTATAATTGAAAGAGCCCCACCTACCACAAAATACTCCAAAGCACTACAAAGTACTATTCCCACACCTGCTTGTTGAACAGTAGATCGCCATGAAACGTCTACATTAACTTAGATGATATTACTTAGGGGAGGAGACCACCACTGAGGTGGTTTATACACTTGAGATGTACCTTCCGAAGTTGATTGAGGGAACGCTGAACCTCCAAAAAAATTGCCACAAGAGGTTTAGATTGCCCTTATAACTGAGAAGGGATGTGGGGCCTTATGCTCCATAACAGCTTTGCAATAGGCTTCCAAATGTGCCAGCATTTGTGGGCAATAATAGTACTCATCCATTCTCGATCGGTCACACTTAGAACCCCTCATTTGTGATTGACAACAACCATCTATCCATACTTGTGATCGCTCCCTTGTCTAACTTGATATTCAATTGGCCACCAAACCACACAAGTTCAACCCAAGGACAGAGTAAGAGCATGTGTTCAACATATTCGGCAAATTCACCGCAAATAGAGCAAATAGGGGAGGTGCCCATTTTTTGCAGAAATAAGTTCTCCTTCGTGGCAATTCCATTCCAAAAAGCTCTCCAAATAAAATTACAAATTTTTGGGGGAGCTTTTGTTTGCCAAACAAACTTCTACCAAACCACATCAACATCGCGAAAAGAGAAGGATCTATTTTGTTGCCGAGTAATTGAAGAGCTATGCAGCCAATTATACCAAGATTTTACAAAGTAGAATCCATTCTTTTTGAAAGGCCACACCAGTCTATCTTTATTCCTCAGGCTTACAAATTTAATCTTGGAAATGGCTTCAGCAGCTCTATCATCAATCAGGTGTCGAATTAGATAGAGGTTCCAATTACGGGTATCAAAATTAATAATGGAATTGACTCTTTGCTCTAAATCCACCATACCATTAGCCACTGGTTGCAGCCTTCCACCCTCAAAACCTATAATCCAATTATCAACTCATAGCCTAACCTGAGAGCCATCAAGAACTTGCTAGTGAGCGCCTTGCAACAGAATATCCATCCCCTACAGTAAACTAGCCCACACCAGGAAGCCCGACTACCCTTTCTGGCTTGAAGAAAAATTTCATTTGGGAAATAAACACCCTTCAAAGTTTTTGCCCAAAGAGAGTCAGGTTCGGTGATGAGTCTCCAACATTGCTTAGTTATCAACGCCAAATTAAATTCATGAAGGTCACGGAAGCCCATACCACCAGACTGTTTTGAGAGATCTAAAAAATTTCAACTGATCCAGTGTATCCTTTTCTCATTTCCACTCTGCCCCCACCAGAAATTTGACATTAACGAATCAATTTCCTTACAAATTTTGGAAGGGAACACAAAGATGTGCATTGGATAAGTTGGAACCACTTGAACCACTGCTTTCAACAGAACCTCACAACCTGCCTGCGAAAGAAATTGTTGTTTTCAACCTTGGATTTTAGACATAATCCTCTCCTTAATGTATAGCAGTGCCTCACACTTTGAGCGGCCCCAAATAGTAGGGAGACCAAGATACCTCCCAGGATCATCAACCTATGATATCCCAAGAATATGGCAGAGACGCTGGCCTAAATTTGATTGAGTATTGGGCTGAAGAAGATAGTTGATTTGGCCAGACTAATTTGTTGTCCAGACGCTTTACAAGACTCTACAATTCTGCTCCGAGGCCCTTAGGAAAATTAAGTTATTATCGACAAACATGAGATGGGAGATAGTAGGTCCCGACCAACTTAATTTGACGCCCTGCAAAAAACCAGATTCGCAAGCCTTAAGCACTAATAAGGAGAGAACCTCGCTCACTAATAAGAACAAGTACGGGGAGAGTGGGTCTCCTTGTCTCAATCCGCAGGTGGGTTTAAATCTTCCTCTTGGCTGTCTATTAAGGATCACAGAAAAATGCACCGTTGTGATACATCAACTCCACCCATCTCTCAGTGAACCCCAATCTAATCATCACAGCCTCCAAGAAATCCCACTCCTCGCGGTCGTACACTTTATTCATATCAAGTTTGACTCCCATTTCGAACATCTTCTTCGATTTCCTTAACTTCAAGTAATGGAATACGTCATGAGCCAGGATAATATTATCTTGAATCTGGCACCCATGGACAAGGGCATTTTGGATGTGATGAATGAGGTTGGGCATGTGAGGTTTGAGCCTATTTGCCATAATTAGAGAATTTTATACGAATAATTACACAACCCAATTGGATGAAATTGGGAAACTGTCTCAAGACGGGATTTTCGGAATCAGCACTAAGTGGGTTGAGTTGAGGGAAATTGGGAAGACAATACCTTCCAAAAAATCTCACTGTCCCTTGCACCTCAACAAGAATGGTGTCCCAATACGCCTAATAGAACATTCCTTGAAACCCGTCAGGCCCTGGGGCTTTCATTCCTCCACCCCCCTCCAAGATTGGGCTAGTCAGCGCTGCATTCATCTTGTCACTAACAGTATGAGAAACACAATCAAGTACATCCCCCCAATCTCTGTGACCACCAGTTGTAAACAAATTTTTGAAATGTTCCTCCACAGTGTCTAATTCCCTCTGGGTTTTCAATCCAAACCCCATCATCATTCTTGATCTTAGAAACGTTGTTGTGGCGTCTACGTTGCAATGTTGTTGTTTGGCATTTTGCCCTGGTATTGTTATTCCAGTGTGACAAAAACCAAAAACAAAAAAAGAAATTACATCACGTGTGAAAGAGGTTTATGCAAATCAGGGTGGTGAACCAAATATATTAAAGAAAGAAACTAGAGTGCAGCAATCAGGTACTGCCTTAACATTATCACTAACCTGTAATAAATCAACATAAACATCTAGCCTAGAACAAAACAGACCAAAAAACATTGTATGAACAGTAAACATGTTCCCAAAATATTTCAAATGCTCCATCTATGTTGTCAAGGGTTCCCTACAGTTGCTTCTCCAAAATGGAAGTAGTGCAACTCACAAAAGCAAGCAGGCTGGCAACCTACCAAAGATGGGCAGCAGCACTGCAGACTGGGGAGCGGCCGCCTTTCGGGAATTACTATGTACACATCTGAGGCAGTTCATACTAGGGTTGATAAGTGCCAAGTGGAGGAGGGCTGGGGGTGAAGTGATGCGGCCGATGTATTCCAGAATTCAGCATTGCACCAGTTTCGTAGTCGTTGGCATACATACCAAACTGCCGCAGTCCACAATTAGCGCCAATTCCATATTCGTTGGCCGCAGCCATACCAAACCGCCCAGGGTGTCTATAATTCTCATGCTGCCAAGATGGCACACTTCTATGCTGATAGTCAGGACAGGAAGTTGGCATTCGATATAGTCTAGCAGCCGATCCCCCCATTCGTTGGAATTTATTTGGATGCTGTTGTTGTTGATGTGGTTGAGCCCCTCTGCGTTTATTCCAATTTGTCTGCTTTTGTTGTTCAAACTTATTAGCCTCTTGTTGTTCAGTCTTGATGGCAATAACTTTACTCTGTTCATGTTGTTCAACTTCGCAGACAAGAGATTTGTTCTCCTCTTGTCGCCCAACTTTGCAGGCAAGAGATATCGCTGAACGTCTTTGACCCTCCTTTATTTTCTCAACCATAGCTATTTGTAATTCAATCTTCCCAGATGGGTATACAGACTCGAGATTGCAATCTCTGATGCACTGAATCACAGCTCTTAAATCAGCAATTTCATTATCTAAAACCTTAACCTGTGAGCAAAAAAACATAGCACGTAAGCTTTACAGCCATACATTTTTCCTGTACTTAAATATTCAGGAACCAAATATTGGGCAACCAAAGAAGAGCTAAGGTACCTTTTCATCTAGTGATTTCTTTGTCTTGCAAATTCTCCTGTTCCAGTTCTTTGTATTCTCCACAAACTTTTCTAAGAGTGGAACAGCGGGGAAAGTGTCAATTAACTTGAATGTGCAAATCAACCTAAC